GATTTAGTATTCTTAGTTGACAGTTGTTTTTTCTGTAATTAAATAACTGTGTGTTGTTTTCTTTTGATTTCTCTGGATTTTTGTCTGTTTTGTTATCTTTGATTATTTGTGTTAAATCCACAATTATGTGAATTGTTGCACCCTTATAAGTTTGTCTCTGGCTGTTTTCAGTGTTTTAATTTCAGGTTTTACCAATTTGATTATGATATATGTGGCTGTGAATTTCATTGAGTTTAAGTCTTAGTTTCTCAAAATTCTGTGTTTATATCTTTGGTCAAATGTAGGAAGTTTTCAGCCATTTTTTCTTAAAATAGTTTTTCCGCAGTGAACCCTTTATCCTTATATTCTAGAATTTCAGTAATATGAATGTTGTACCTTTTGGTATTGTTCCACAGTCCCTGAGTTTCTTTCTTTCTTTCTTTCTTTTGTCTTCATTTTTTTTTTCCATCTCTCTTGTTTAGATTGGGTATTTTTTAGGTATTCACATTCAATAAATTTTTCTTCTGTTGTCTTCATTTTGTGTTTGGACTCATTCAGTGAAATTAATTTAATTTAATCTGATTTAATTAATTTATTTATTTTGAGACAAAGTCTTATTCTTGTCACTCACGCTAGAGTGCAGTGGTGAGATCTTGGCTCACTGCCACCTCCCCCTCCCCGGTTCAAGTGATTCTCCTGCCTCAGCCTTCCAAGTAGCTGGGATTACAGGCGACTGCCACCATGCCTGGCTAATTTTTATATTTTTAGTAGAGATAGGGTTTCACCATGTTGGCCAGGCTGGTCTTGAATTCCTGACCTCTGGTGATCTGCCCACCTCGGCCTCCAAAAGTGCTGGGATTACAGGTGTGAGCCACTGCACCCTATCTGAGATTTTATTTTATTTTTTTTGATTTAGTTATTGTTTTACAGTTGTAAAATTTCCACTTGGTTCTTTATATCTTTTGTTTCATTGCTAACACTATCTTTTTCTTTCTTTCCTTTTTTTTTGAGATGGAGGTTCACTCTTGTTACCCAGGCTGGAGTGCAATGGCACGATCTCAGCTCACCGCAGCCTCCGCCTTCTGGATTCAGGCAATTCTCCTGCCTCAGCCTCCTGAGTAGCTGGAATTACAGGCACACGCCACCATGCCCAGCTAATTTTTTGTATTTTTAGTAGAGACGGGGTTTCACCATGTTGACCAGGATGGTCTCGATCTCTTGACCTCGGGATCCACCCACCTCAGCCCCCCAAAGTGCTGGGATTACAGGTGTGAGCCACCGCATCCGGCCCTTTTTATTTCTTTTTCATTTATTTTCAGCGTATTTTTTCTAACTCTTTCAAGCGTTTTTTTTGTTTGTTTGGTTGGTTGGTTGGTTTGGTTTTGGTTTTTTTGTTTGTTTGTTGTTCTGAGATGGACTCTCACGCTGTCACCCAGGCTGGAATACAGTAGCGCGAGGTCTGCTCACTGCTCCCTCCTTCTCCCAGGTTCAAGTGATTCTCCTGCCTCATCGTCCCTAGTAGCTGGGACTATAAGCGTGCACCTTGACACCCAGCTAATTTGTGTATTTTCAGTAGAGACGGGATTTTACCGTGTTTGCAAGGATGACCTCGATCCTTTGATTTCGTGGTTCACCTGCCTTGGCCTTCCAGAGCTGTGGGATTACAGGAGTGAGCCACTGCACCCGGCTAGGAGCAGTTTTCTAACAGCTTCCTTTAAGTGTCTATTTGATAATTCCACCGTCTGTGCTATCTTGATGTTGGTGTCTGTGAATGTCTTTTCCATGCAAGTTAAGATTTTCTTGGTTCTTTGTATGTTAAGTCATTTTGGTTTGTATCCTGGATATGTTGAATATTGTGTTATGAAACTCTAGGTCTTGTTTAAATCCCATGGAAGTCACTGATATTTTTGTTTTAGCAAGCAGTCAGTCTTGTTGGGTTCAGGCTGAAAGCTCTTGCTTTTCTTCTGTGGAGTCGTTTCCAATATCAGTTATACTGGGTGTGTCCCATGTATGTATCCAACCTATGACATGGGCAGTACTGTTCCTTAGTTCAATTCTCAAAGCTTACGGAAATTTTTTAGGGTCAGATACACACATGAGCACAGAGGTGAGTGCGGGAGTTTATAGAAATACTGTATGGAGGTGATTTTCCCAAATTATTTTTTCTCCAGGAGTCTCAAAGTACTATTTGTTTTCTAGGGTTCCCCATTTTTTGTCCTCCACCCAGAAAGCTGGTGGGTTTTTGTTTGTTTTCAATGTCCCTGTTCATGTGCTTCTCATCTGAGTCTGCATTGAGGGCCAAGAGAGGAAATAAAGAAAAGCAATGGATGGTGGGCATTATTCGCTCAGCCTCCTGGGAACACAGTGGTTGATGTTAATCGTGTGTAGTTACTGCTTTGCCACTGTTGTTCATACGCGAAGACTACCCTGAGATTGCAGATCGCAACATAAGAGGATGGATAAACTTTTGAAAAGAAATAATAACAACAACAAAAGAACAATGGGGATTTCCTGTCTTCTCTGAGCATTAAGTTTCCTGTTTCTTGATTCCCAGAAGAAAACCAGGGTGCATCTCCCGGGTCTCTATTTGCCTGGGTGTCTGATTTTCAGCTCTTGGCTACCTTGTACCTCTACACCAAGGGATACCCGTGGTGGCAGGTGGTAATTAACCTCCCACCAGTGGTGTTTTTTCATCCCCTCTCTACTTGCCGCTATTTAATATTCAGCAATCTCGAGTAGCTGCTCCATGCATTCTATACAGATTTCCTGGCTGCGCTCCTTTGGGGAAACAGGATGAAGTGTTTTCGCAACATCTTTTCAAGAACTGAAACTTCACCATCACTTCATTTATTTTATTGTGTTAAAATACACATAAAATAAAAATTACCATTTTCACTACTTTTAAATATATGTTGTAGTGGCATTTAAGTATATTCACAATGTTGTGCAACTATCATTACCCAGTTTGAGAACATTTTTATCACCCCAAATAGAAACCCCATACCCACTAAGCAGCCACTCGTCCTCTTTCCTTAACCTAGTCCGCTGGCAGTGATTTCTCTCCGTCTCAGCGAATTTTCCCCACTTCATTTTTTAACAGTTTGTGGAGACATAATTTAGGTAACATAAAGTCACCTATTTCAAGTGTGTAATTCAATGTGGGCCTTTTTTGTATGTTTATAGAATTGTACTACTTTCCTTTTTAATCTTTTAGAATATTTATCTCAGTCTTTTCCTCTTTAGTTTTTTCTTCTTCTTTTTTCTTCCTTTTTTTTTTTCTTTCTGAGATGGAATCTTACTCCGTTGCCAGGCTGGAGTGTGGTGGCAGGACCTCAGCTCTTTGCAGCCTCCACCTCCCGGGTTCAAGTGATTGTCCTGCCTCAGCCTCCTGAGTAGCTAGGATTACAGGCGCCCACCACCAGGCCCAACTAATTTTTGTATTTTGGGCCAGGCTGGTCTCGAACTCCTGACCTCAGGTGATCCACTTGCGTTGGCCTCCCAAAGTGCTGAGATTTATAGGCATGAACAACCACGCCTGGCCTACCTTCCTTTCATTTAATGATCTGTTATACTGTATTTTTAATACAAGATTGGAACCATAACATTGTATATTTCTGTGGTTTCTTTTCTTAAAAACTAAATGGTGTCTTTTGAGCATTTTTCATATCTCTAGGTGTAAAACCGTGTTTCTAAATGGTAGATGTTATGCCATCCTATCAGTATAATTTATTTTTAATTTTCCCATTATTATACATATTTATAATTTCTTTTTTATAAACATTGCTGTTGTTAATTGACATGGAAATAAACGTTTGTGTGTCTCTCTGCTTATTTTCTTAAGAGCTACCCTTACTGGTATTATTTCTGGGTTACAGGGCATAGAAAAGCACTAACTTATAGATTTTGGGCTCTGGTGCATACCAGGTAAAGATTCTAGTTTTTGTTTTAGAGAAAGTCAGAAGAAACTTCCTATACAAAATGCATAAAATATACATCAAAAGTTGGTTCCTAAACCTCCCTATCCCTTAGTAAATGTTTCAGAAACTTACAGTATACTGTCTGGTGCTGGAATTCGGGAGTTGTTTCATTGGTTTAAAAAAAAAAGTACTGGAAATAGGCAGAATAAAGGTGAATGCAGACCTAAATTTTATTTCAGCCTAACTATTTTGGTTCAAGGTGGAGTCCACCAGCTCCCAGACAGAATGACCATGTATCTCAAATTTCCTTGTATGTGTTACATGTGTTACTTTGTATCTGTGGCCTTAGCATGATCTTGTAATACTCCTCTACCCATCCTTCTTAACCCACTTGTATTTTCTTGTGTGGATAATAAGTTACATGGGTACTCTTAAGAAGCATCCTTGGACATTAAGTAAAACATGCGGGTAGGGCAAAGATAATCAAAGCATAGCATCTGTATCGTAATACCCCCTTTCCTATCTGATAGCAGATATCAGAAACCAATTAGGGTTTCTTCCTCTGATGGAAGGATTGACCTCAGAATTCTCCCCAGCACAGTCCTGTGGGGACTTCCTACTGTCTGATTAGAAATGGACCATAAAATGTAACCCAGTTGCCAAGGCATGCTGCTGGCCCTAAACATTGGAGAAGACACTGTGTGTTTTCCAGTGACTTATCACAAGCACGTCAAGTGGGCTTTTATGGAGGCATTCCTGCACCTGTGAGATAGGTCAAGGCAGGGTTTTAGGCAAAGTCAGGGGTTTCATGCAAGAGGGGAGCTGCCCTCATCCTGGGCAGATGCTGCTTCCCACCCATTCTCTTCCATTTCTCTCCTCATCTCGTTTCCAGTCTCTTGACTTATCCTAACTGTGCTTCTGAATCATACAATCAAACTCCAAGTGAAGCTTGGGCTATATAGACCTCAAGAAATATTAAATGCATAATTAATTAATTCTGGGTTTTCTTTGAGCTGAGTAATTAAAAGTAACTTTGTGTTTTCTTTCATGTTTTTCTGATACAGAGCAGTTCTGACTTACCCCCTTCATTTCTTTTCTTTGTAGGTTTCAAGACAACAGATGAATTGTGAAAGAGAGCAGCTAAGGGTAGGTGCACCTGCTTGTAAAATGCTTCCTGATTCTCATTTTTGTGTGATAAGGAAAATTTCCTTGTCTCTCCCAAGACACGGGTTCTAAGTAACGGGCTTCGTCTGGTAGAGTTGAAAATATTTATCCCAGCTAATTTAGTATTGATTGAGCTGGTAAATACAGTATATCTTCTTTTGAAGTGCCATTATAGTAGATATAGATTTTTTGATTTAGATTCAGCAATAAATACTTCTCTTCTGGAATTTGTTTGACATCATTGTACTCTTTTTATGTACAACACGAGGTCTAAGTAATAACAAAGGTCAAGAGGATGGCTTGCTGCCTTCCTAATGTGAATACCAGGCTCTTTGCTGAGTGGCTAAAATGCTCTTTGGCTGTTGACTGGGGTGGGTGAGCAAGGAATATGTCAAGGGCGTTTTCTAGGAGAGTTTGCATTATCTATAGACATCTTGGTTTTGGTGACATTTGTGTATTTGGGAGAGGGAGACAAAAATTTAAACCTCATATTCTGTTTTCCTACTTAAAAGTGAAACTGTCTTAGTGTTTAGGTATTTCAGGGTAAGAAGTATTCCCTAGATGTGGAGGGAATGTTTGCTTATAAATGGAGCTTGGTGACATTGTTCTGATTTCAGAGTGTCTCGGTGGACATTCTTCTTGGTATGGGGATGGCATTTTAAGAAACACTGGGATTTCTCCCCATTTGTTTTCTTTCACGTGAGTTCATGTTTTTGGTGGATGAGATTTAAATTATAATTGGTTTTTCTTTCATGTCACTAATAGAAATGTGCCGTTTCTACTGGATAATGGGCCTTATAGCCATGTTTTCAAATTGTTACAAAAATTAGAGAAATATGCTGCTTTTAAAACTACAACAGTGGAATTTGGCTTTGGGGAACTACTGTGCCCAAAGATGGCTAATAAATAAGAATAATCTATTAAACAAGACTAATGCCTTCCTGCGCTGCCCTGTAACTTTTCAGATCATTTACCTAATGATAGTTTCATGACGGCAATAATTTGTAGAGTTGCTTCCATTTCATAGTTGCTGTTGGCATCAGGCAACAGAATCCAGGTGCATGAAACCCAGAAAGTGAGTTCAGGTTTTCTGTTTCTTTCATGCATATTTGTTTTATGTACTATCTCAGCACAGCCCTCTCTCTATTAACCCCTCATCTCTACTCACTTTCCTCCCAAATACCTGCGCCAGCATTAGTTGTGACCCTTTTCTTCGTGAAACAGCCTTCAAGATGTTTTAAGCTTTTCTGAACTCTCTTATTGCTTTTCTTCCTGCAGTCAGAATTACTGGTTCATCCTATTAAATAATGTATTACAACTTCAGATTTCTCTTCCTGTTTGGATGGGGACGATCATCGCTGGCCAGAACTAGGTCAGAGCTAGATAAAGAGAAAGAGTGCCTGATAAATTCCTGAGAATTAAGATACCATTGAAATGTCTATTGCAAATGACGCCTGCCCTGGCAAGTTAAAGACACAGTAGGTAGTGAAGTGCTTGTTTGCATTTCGAGGGATTATTTCCCATAGAGGAGTGAGTGTTACTCTCTTCTCTGTTACATCGATTCAGGGAGTGGCTTGGTATTAACAGAACAGGTCATTTAGCTGAGTCCCAGGTGTGGCTCCAGTACCTCCGCTTCTAACGTCAGGAACCACTGCTTTGTTTGCGGTTGCTTTTATACTCGTGTTTTTTGCTTTTTTTTTTTTTTGTTGTTGTTGTTTGTTTGTTTTGTTTTGTTTTGTTTTTTAATGTGAGTCTCTTTCCAAGATACTAAATCATAAAAGTTTATTTAAGGGAAAAAATACAACACTTTAAAGTTTCATTTACCTAAATTTCTATTTCTAATTACATTTTTGTTTTAATTTAATTGCATTTTAGGTTTTGGCTTACATGTGAAGAACATGCAAGACTGTTTCATAGGTACACAAATGGCAGTGTGATTTGCTGCCTTCCTCCCCATAACCTATATCTGGCATTTCTCCCCATGCTATCTCTCCCCAACTCCCTCCCTCCCCGCTGTCCCTCCCCTATTCCCCCAACAGACTCCAGGGTGTAGTTCTCCCCTCCCTGTGTCCATGTGTTCTCATTGTTCAGCACCCACCTATGAGTGAGAACATGCGGTGTTTGATTTTCTGTTCTTGTGTCAGTTTGCTGAGAATGATGGTTTCCAGGTTCATCCATGTCCCTACAAAGGACCTGAACTCATCGTTTCTGATGGCAGCATAGTATTCCATGGTACATATGTGCCACATTTTCCCTGTCCAGTCTATCGTTGATGGGCATTTTTTGCTGTCTAAATGAATTTATGTTTTGAAATGATAGAGGATGCATTTGAGTCAATGGCACACACATTTATAGGGTTCAAAATTTAAATAGTACCAAAGAGAGTGCAATGGTGTTTTTTCCTTCCCAGGTGAGTCAGGCATGCATTTCCCTCTGGGAGACCCCTAAGCACTGGTAGCAATCTCATCTGTAGATATTTTCTTCTGCCGCCTTCGTTTTTGTCCTCTGTCTTTCCATCTCTTTTTCCTCCTCTGTCCCTCTTTTCCTTTCACACTTGTGTTAGCCCTTCCACCACCTCAAAAGAAAACCTTCTTTATTAATGTGACTTTTTTTTGTGTGGGGAGATTTTTAAGGGTTACCAAAAGAAATTCATAACTGAAATGTGAATACCTGTCCATCTCAATGAAATGCATTTTCCTTAATCTCATTTTGTTTTCTTAGAAAGAGAATGGAAGAAAAATAGAAATCTATTTAGTTACCACATCGTTGAAGGGTATCTGTCTGCAAGCCACAATTAAAATGTGTCCTAGGTACAGCAATCAAAATGCATTTCAAGATTTGCTATCCAGGGTGACTGGACTGTGGCCATGTTGTCACATTTAGGGTGCTTCATTAGTGCATTCTGTTGTCAGAATTCAAGGATGCAAGTGGATAGTTGTAAAATTTATTCCTTTCCTTGGCCTCCTGGAAACAGCAAATGATGCAGAAAGATAAAGCTGCCCTTTCTGGTTTGTGTCTATTGACACTGTGTAGGAATTGTTTTTTAAATGAATGTATGCTTTTAAATGCCTTAAAGACCAGCAGCTGATCTTTCAGATCTCCTTTCTTTTTCTTATGAAGCCTCAGTTAATTTTTCCAAAACATGCTCTATGAAGTGCTTAATACCTTTAAGAGATTGAAACGTCTTTACAAGGATTCTATGATTAATTTTTGAAATTACAATGTTAAAAAAATAGGGCCAAATTGTTTATTATTTTTTAACTGCAGGACTTCTCATAGCCTTTAATGTGCAAAGGTGAAATACAAAGAGATGGAAATAATATACAACTTTTTTCTAACTCAGCTGACTACAGAACACTTTTGGTTGTAGAACATACCCTTGAAATTATATCAGTATTATAAGTTAGGATGTTATTATCTGTGAGATGTAGAAAAGCTAAGAGTTAGAGAAAAGCTAAGCATTATTTAAAACAATAACTAACTCTTCAGCTTGCAGTTCCAGGGTTGATTGAGAGATTTCTTTGTATCATTGCAGTGGTTTGAATCCCTGTGCTTCCCTTGGGCTTTCTTTCCTTCTTCCAAGATGGCGGCCATCTACCCCATTTCCGGTCCTCACAGGGCAACATGCTCATCAGAAGGAGGGAGAAGAGGAGCTTCTCCTTCATAGCTCTTGCATTTTACTGGGGGAAAATTATTCCCAGAATCCTTCACTGCAGCCATTCTCTTAGATCTCGTTGGCCAGTCTCTACATCAATCACTGGCAAGGTGAACTGGAACCTCAGCAATTGGCTGCAGCAGTTATGACTCATTTCCAGGATTAGGCACATTGTTACCTGAACAAAAACAGGATTTACTTAAACTGGAGGAAGCAGAGAATGTGCTCCAGTGTAGTCACCCAGAGGAGTCGGCCACAAAAGGAATCCACTCTGTCAGGGTGCTGGTTTTCTGCCAGTACCTTTCGTTACTCCCTTTTATCCCACATCTATGGGCTCAGCAACTGTGTGAATTCTGGTTTGTGGAATTTGACACATATGCTTTCTCTGCCAGCCTTGAATCTCACAGGTCACATCTCCCATCCTAACCTACTTTTCTACTTATCTTGGCACTGTCTCTGTATTTTGCCTTGTGTAATTTGAAACTGCCCTGGATATAGTCTTTGCTCATATCCCCTCAGCATTAGATGTGGGAAGGAGGCATGGGGCATTGTGTCTTGTACCCAGCTCAGCCCAGAGATACCATCGACGAGCTTCCTGGCCCCTACCCTTCCCAGTGCAAGGACATCAGCCAGTTACTCCCAACAGTAGGGTTACCCTTCTCAGAGAACTATTGGGATTACTCATGTTTCTTAGTTGTTAAGCAAACCACACAACAGGAAACGTGTTCATTCCTCAATCCCAAGGTTTGTTAATCTAGAGAAGACTCAGTCTTCTTCTGAGCTTATAATTCATATTATTGGCTGGATTCTTGCAGTGAGATGGTCACAGGTGTTCATTGTGGAATCTGTGATAGCACTCCTGGTCCATGGGCTGTATTCGCCAGCTTGTTTCTGCATCCCCACGGGTTATGGTGATAGTTGTGCAGCGACCATAACCAGTTATCAACATTTACCTCTCCAGCATCTGAACCAACAGATGAACAAATTAACAACTAAGAGAGAAATAAATTATCCCAGGAGCCTCTTGCTTCCCTGAGCCATCTACCAGTTGGGGGAGATTGTATAGTCATAAGGTGGGAGATTCTAATGCCCACTTTTCTGAGCACTCATTAAATATTTTATTACAAAGGGATCTTTTGTGCTTGAGTGTTAGATGTTGGTTTGGGGGCTGACTAACAAGTTTAGTTAGAAAATACTATGTAGGCAAAGGCATGACTGCTGGATTCTATTCTGTGGATTCAAATACTGATCTGTGGTATGGCAAAGTGATAGTATAGTTGTCAATATACTGTAGTATGAATGGTGGTTAGGGCTGGTGAAGCACTGG